ATAATGAGGATGCTCTAAGAATTGTGTACTGCATCTAAATCTAAACACACCCATCCAGAGTTTTTAAGTCTGCAGAAGTCTCCTTGCCCGAATTTCTTTACATCGATCTTTCTCAACCCTATATCAAATGGCGAAATCATCTCTCTTGGTAGTGTTTGGGGTCACAATCCTGTTTGCCCTTGTGTTTGCGGGGACCACATCTGCATCCATCGACGATTCCGACGAAGACGATGCCCAATCGGAAGCTGCCGCCGCCTTTGTGAAGAAAACCATTTCTTCTCATTCCATTGTCATTTTCTCCAAATCCTACTGCCCGTGAGACATTTTAACTCCTTCCATTTTGCTTACTTTTTATTTTTTTGTCTTCAATTTTCTTCTTGTATGCATTGGGATGCCAGTTTATGTGGGGTTTTTTTTTTTTTTTTTTTTTTTTGTGCTTTATATATATTACATATTTAATGTAGTTGATATTTTTTTTGGTTCTATACCCGAAGAAAAATTCTGTCTTTCTGTCCATGTCTTTGTTTAGATATTGACGTATTGTTTACCTTGTGGTTGCTAGTGGAATATATTACTCCTAAATGTGAAGGTCTTTACCTTTAGGTTTTTTAGTTGTGTACATTATGATAAAGACGGGTAAGCCCAAGAAATCCTTACAATGACACTAATGATTACATTGGTATACTATTTGAATATTTTTCTGACTCATATGCCTCTTAATTTTCAAAAATCTGTTACAGATTTCCCCAAATAACCGATAAATGGCCCTTTTTTGTTTATTCCCAACTAAAAGAAATCATTCTAGATGCATAAGACTTTATCATGAATGTGTTTTTGCCACAAATCTTTATATCTCGTCACATGTGATTCATCGAATAGGTTAAGCTAATCTTGAATGCAAATTGGTGGTGGATTAATTGATGGTTTTAAATGTTCCATATTGTAATTTCAGTCCATAAATGTAGATGCATTATACAGTTTTCCTTTGAAACATCATGGATTCCTATGTTATGCAAGTTCTTCAGAGTTCACTAAAGTGAGTTTGAGAATTATTAAATCACCTAGCCTTTGGCACTTTCTGCTATGGGATTATCTCTTTCCTATGCAGATATTGTAAAAGGGCAAAGGCTGTCTTTAAAGAATTGAAGCAGAAAGCTTATGTTGTTGAGCTTGATGAGAGAGGTATGTTCTCAGTTCTCACTGTGCTGTGCTTTTTCTCTGTCTCCTATTTAATTGCTTCACTGGTCTCGTATCTTTTTCAAACAAGTATCTGCATTCTTTATTCTTTTACTGCTTAATGATCCAGGGAAAGGGATAACCTAGCCTTGCAGCCTTGAGAATTTGTCGACCTCATTTTTTTTCTTTTACCATTTATGATCTTATGATTATGAAATGCTGTATTCTCAATGGTAATGTAACTCTTTTTTAACAAGTATCTGGCTTTTCTAATTTTACTGCTTAAAGATTTTGGAAGGGACCGGGACATAACCTAGCTTAGCAACAATGAGAACTTGTGGACCTCTTTTTCTACCAATTAAGATGAAATCCTGGATTCTCAGTGGTGATGTAACAAGTTTTAGACAAGTATCTGGCTTTTTTATTTTACTTTTTAAAGATTGAGGAATGAACAGGGAAATAACCTAGCCTAGCAAACATGAGAACTTGTGGGACTCTTCTTTTAAAATTTAAGATTTTCAGAGAAACTGGATTCTAAGTAGCCTGATCAAGCTGCTGATTATTGCTCTTGCTCACTCTATTTAATTTCATTCAAGTATACTGTTTTGGAACTTTCCTAAAAGTTTGTGTTTCATTTTTATTTTTACTTGGGACCTGTTTGGTATCATTCTCCATCAGTTTTTAATGATTTTAGGGGAAAGGGTCAAATATGCCCTTGGACTATATGGAATTGTGCAATTGTGATCTTGAGCTCCAAAAAACTCCAATTGAACCCTCAACCCTCGCAAAAAAGTGCAATTGGCACATTTTTGTACGTAAAACTTATGGCAGCAATAGGTTAATGTTGATTTGGCATTGATGTATCTCTCTCTCTCACACACACACACACTCTCTCTCTCTCTCTCTCTCTCTCTTTGTTTGTATTTTTTTTTTTTTGGGGTTTGAAAAAACTGTGGTTTTTAAAAATTATTTTAAAAACTTTGTCCATAAGTCATGGAGATGGAGTCTTTGAATATGGACAACGACAACTTGGGCATATTTGTCCAATTGAATCTGGACAAAGATGCCCAATGCGTCTTTGGCTTTGGATGTACAAGCTATGGACAATGACCATGGCGTCATTGTGCCTCGTGGAATATTCATTACCATGGTTTCTTCTTCAATGAAGAAGATGATTTTTTAAAAAAGTTATTATTATTATTATTATTATTATTATTATTATTATTATTATTATTATTAGAGATAAGTGTCAAGTACAGTCTTGAACTATTTTAAAAAGTGCAATTAAACCATCAAACTCCAATAGCTTCCCAAAGCTTATTCGCAATTGATGACTAATTGCTTCCCAAAGCTTATTCGCAATCAAGGTTATCAAGGCGGACTTTCTAGGCGAGATGACTAGGCGACTGCCTAGGCAATGAGTAATATATATATATATAACAATTAGTACTAAATATGCAATACTTTAAACATTGTAATCAAAGCAAGTTCAAAAATCATAAAGTCAAGAATCAACATCACACAATACTACAATACTATATATCCAATGTCTCAATTCTCAAACTCCCAAATCTTTGAGGATTTTTTTGTCTTATTCATCCCTCAAACCTCCCAATGATGAAGTATTGCGACGCCGGGAATATTGTTGTATAGGTGCACTCGTGCCTTCACCCGCACGAGCTCTTGTACAGTTGTACGAAGATTGCTTCCCTCCAAATTGGTTGAAGCACCCGGCGCTTCATCAACAAGACTCCAAGTAAGGTCATCATCGGCATGAACATTATCATTACTACCATCCACCCATTCATTTTCCCATTCAAAATCTTCAAGAATTAATGGATTGAAGTTGGTTCCTTGTTCACGCCGCTTTTGAAACCGACTAACAATCTTCCGGTTATACTTCACATAAACCAAATTATTCAACCGTTTATGTTCTAATCAGTTTATCTTAGAAAATAAAAAATAATTACTACTTTAGTAACTTAGAAAAAAATAACACTATTAGTTAGTAACTACTAGTTAGTACTAAGTACTTACGAACTCAAATGTGCTCCAGTTACGCTCACAGCCGGCAAATGAACAACAAAAGGAAATAATGCGCATTGCTAATCTTTGGAGCTCAAAATGGTTGCCTCCAAAAGCTATCCACCAATCAACTAAAATATTAATACATATCATATTTAGTAAGTTATTTTATCAAAAGTATAAAATTAGAAATTGTTTAAACTTTTAAGTTTAAACTTGTTGTAATTTAAATAATACTTACGTGGAGTTTTGGTTTTGTGTTGTTTGATGGCTAATTGCTTCCCAAAACTTCCTCGCAAATAATCATAGTCATCAACTTGATTGCTTATTTTGAGTTATGTTTCTTCATCTCGAACCATCTTACCAAGCACATCATTAAACATGCCCGTTGCTTAGAAGCATATTCAAAATCACTTTCTTTCAAATCAAAGTAGTGGGTAGGGTTTAAAAACAATGCTGCTCCATATAAATCAACTCCCATTTGATCTTGCCAGCGTCCCTCCACAATATCCATCAACCTTGACGGCAACCTCGGTTGGCTTGCAAATGCTTCATTCAATTTCTTCTTTGCAGTTGTCATAGCCATGGCAACCTCGGGCATAGCTCGGATCTCATCACCATCAACGATTCTCAATACAACAAGAATCGGTTGAGAAGCATTTATGCAATCTTCCACCCAAGTCCAGAATTGAGTAGAAAACACAGAGTCATATATTTTCTTTCCAGCTTGTGTGTTTGATAGTTTAGAAGTAGTCCAATGCTCACTAACAAACAAACTTTTTAAAGCTTTCTGGTGTTTGTACAAACTTTGCAATGTAAGGAAGGCTGTGACAAATCTAGTAATTTCAAGTCTAGATCCTTACCACCTTTGAACTCCCTCATAGCATTTAGGATCCTTCCATGCCTATAAATGAAAGTAGTGATGCGCCTAGCACTTTCAATTTTTTGCTTAAACTTTACCAACTTGTCAATATCTTTTAACATGAGGTCCAAGTAATGTGCCGCGCAGGGAGTCTAAAGCAGTGTAGGTATCTTTGCTTCCAACAACCTACCTGTTGCCTTGTAATTAGCACCATGCCTGTCACAATTTGAACAACATTTTCATTTACTATTTCTTGAATCTTGGTCTCAAGTAACCTAGCCAACATGTTGGCATCATGAGATTCGATTGATGCATCAAACTCCAAGAAAAAGGTCTCCTTCGGACTGTTGACATGGAAGTTTATCAAATGCCTATTTCTTTTGTGAGTCCATCCCTCTGTCATCAAAGTGCACCCATACTTCCTCCAAGCAACCTTATGTTTGTCTTTCAATCTGTTTCTTTTTTTTGCTTTCTCTAAGAGTGTGACCGCAAATCATGATAGCTAGGAGGTTTCCACCCGGGTCCTAATTGTGCAATGGACTCTAACATTATCTCAAAACTCCAAGCATTTGCGACATTCTAGGGAATGCCACACTCATAGAAACAGTTTGCAACATGCATTGTTGTTCTCTCTTTCTCTTCTTTAGTTCTTGTACAATCTTCAAGGGTTCTTTGATAACCCTTGCTATGCCTTTCTTCCACTACTTCTTCAGGGGTTTTCCTAACCATTGCAGCAATTGTTTTTTGTGCCGGTTGTGCAAACCTCAAAGCTAATTGCCTCCTTTTGCAACTAGTCCCCGAACTTGAATGACTAATTGAGTTGTGGATGATGGTGGTCTTGGTTGGGTTGGTTCCATTGACACTTCTTGTGAACCTTCATCCCCATTATTGTCATCCAAATTTAGTTGCTTGTTCCTTAAATTTTTGAATATATATTCTTAAGAATGAATTCAAGGAACAAGCAGCTGATTTTGGATGACAATGATGATGTCAATGATGGGATGAATGTTCACAAGAAGTGTCAATGGAACCAACTCAACCAAGACAATCATCATCCCACAACTCAATTAGTTATCCAAGTTCGGGGACTAGTAGCAAAAGGAAGCAGTCCGTTTTGAGGTTTGCACAACCGGCACCAAAATCGATTGTTGCAATGATTAGGAAAACCTCAGAAGAAGTTGTGAAAGAAAGACATAGCAAGGGTTATCAAAGCACCCTTGAAGATTGTACAAGAAGAGAAAGACAGAGCAGCAATGCATATTGCATATTGTTTCTATGAGTGGCATTCCCTTTATGTTGCAAATGCTAGGAGTTTTGAGATAATGCTAGAATCCGTTGCACAAATAGGAATTGGGTGGAAACCTCCTAGCTTTCATGATTTGTGGGTCACACTCCTAGAGAAAGGAAAAAGGAAACGGACTTGTTGAAAGAAAAACATAAGGTTGCTTGGAAGCGATATAGGTGTACATTGATGTCAGATGGATGGACTGACAGAAGAAATAGACACTTGATAAACTTCATTGTCAATAGTCTGGAGGTGACCTTTTTCTTGGATTCTGTTGATGCATCGAGCGAATCTCTCATGATGCTAACATGTTGGCTGGTTACTTGAGACCAAGATTGAAGGAATATGCAAGGAAAATGTTGTTCAAATTGTAATAGACAATGGTGCTAATTACAAGGCAGCAAGTAGGTTGTTGGAGGAGAAGATACCTACGCTGTTTTGGATTCCCTGCACGGCACATTAATTGGACCTCATGTCGGAAGATATTGGCAAGTTGGTAGAGTTCAAACAAAAGATTGAAAGTGTTAGGCGCATCACTACCTTCATTTATAGGCATGGAAGGATTTTAAATGCTATGAGAGAGTTCACATGTGGTAAAGATCTTGTGAGACTTGGAGTTACTAGATTTGACACAGCCTTCCTTACCTTGTAAAGTTTCTACAAACACCAGAAAGCTTTAACAAGCTTGTTTGTTAGTGACCATTGGAGTGGTTCTAAACTATCAAACACACAAGCTGGAAAGAAGGTATATGACTGTGTTTTTTACTCGATTCTGGACTGGGGTGGAAGATTGCATCAAGGCATCTCAACTGATTCTTGTTGTATTGAAAATCGTTGATGGTGATGAGATTCCAGCTATGCCCGAGGTTGCCATGGCTATGGCGATTGCAAAGAAGAAATTGAATGAAGCATTTGCAAGCCAACCGAGGTTGATGGATATTGTGGAGGGGCGCTGGCAAGATCAAATGGAAGTTAAGTTATATGGAGCAACATTGGTTTAAACCTTCCCACTATTTTGATTTGAAAGCAAGTGATATTTCAAGTGCTCGTAAGCAACGAGCACTCTTTGAGTTCATCTGTCGGCTGTGAGTGTAACTGGTGCACATTTGAGTTCGTAAGTACTTAGTAATAACTAATAGTGTTATTTTTTTAAGTAATTATTTTCTATGATTTAAATTCACACAAAGAAAAGAAACCAATTAGAACATAAACGGTTGAATGATTTGGTTTATGTGAAGTATAACTGGAAGATTGTTAGTCGATTTCAAAAGCGGCATGAAGAAGGAGCCAACTTCAACCCATTAATTCTTAAAGATTTTCAATGGGAAAATGAATAGGTGAATGGTAATAATGATAATGTTCATACCGGGGATGACCTTACTTGAAGTCTTGTTGATGAAGTGCTTGGTGCTTAAACCAATTTTGAGGGAAGCAATCTCCTACAAGAGCTCATGCAGGTGAAGACACGTGTGCACCTATTCAATATTTCCCAGTGTTGCAATACTTCATCATGGAAAGGTTTGAGGGACGAAGTAGAAGATGTGGATTCTTTTCCAAATGATGATATGAAGATATTGATGATGAAGATGCTGAGGGAATTGGGAGTGATGACCATAATGTTGGTGGTGAAGGGAAGGGATTGAATTAATGGATGATTGAGATTTGAGAGTTTGAGACATTGGATATTTGATATTTAGTATTGTACTATTGTTTGATGTTGGGTCATGATTTTTGAACTTGCTTTGATTTTAATGTTTAAGTTATTGCATATTTAGTACTAATTGTTTTATATGGGAAGATATATATATATATATATATATATATATATATATATATATATATATATATATATATATATTACTCATTGCCTAGGCGGTCGACGACATCTCGCCTAAAAAGTTGCGTTGATAAGCTTGGATTTGATAGTTTGAGACTGAATATTTGACAATTGATATTTAGTATTGTATTATTGTTTGATGTTGGTTTATGGTTTATGAACTTGGTTTGATTTTAAAGTGAATTATTGCATATTTAGTACTTATTGTTATATATATATGATCAAATGAGAACCCCTCTCATGAAAACTTGCGAACCAGCATGAATGCATACAAACTATTCCAGGTAGATTGTGTGCATTGTGCACTGGAATATAGATTGTGTGCATTGGAGGAGGGGTTCTCATTAGAACATCACCATGTATATATTACTCATTGCCTAGGCGTTGCCTAGTCGACTAGGTGGTCGGTGGTATCTCGCATAGCCGACTATTTTATACTTGTATTACAATGTTACATACTAGGCATTTTTATTTTTTATTTTGGTAGAGTACATACTAGGCATTTGGTTTGCGTAGTTGACATTCCAAGAGAATGTCGTGTACTCGCCACTTGAACTTTTTTCCTCTCTTGGTGGAATTTAATTTTATCACTTCTCTTAGGTTGTTTGAGATTATGAGTAGTTTGGAGATTAATTAAAATTTGAATTGTCTGGTAAGGTGATTATAAAATGTTTCCTTTGCAACTTGGTTACTGACATTTTCTGGGGAAAACTTCCCTGGTTTTTAGGTGCCCAAAATAATTCTCAGATGGGAATTTCTTAATGTTGAAATATATCTTACATTCTAGTGTTGCATGTGTTTATAGGAGACTGACCTTTAAGAATCTTTTTCACAGATGATGGATGGCTTATTCAAAATGCCGTAAGTGAGGTGGTTGGAAGGCGTACGGTGCCACAGGTTTTCATTAATGGAAAGCACATCGGAGGATCTGATGGTAAGTTACTGTCACATGTCCAAACCACTTTGCTTATCAAATTACTCATTGGGCTAATCGATATTTACATTTACTACTACTATTCACAGATACTATCGAGGCCTATGAAAGCGGAAAATTGGCTAAACTCCTAGGTCTTAATGTAAGCAAGGATGATCTTTGAACCTAATGCAATTAAATGGCAGCACAAGATAAATACTTCGGCTTTTGTTACTGCAGAGTAGTATCAGTTATCCATAACAAAGAAAAAAGGACCAGTTTTTGGTTTCAACTAATGTAAGATGTTCTCCTTTAGTGGCAAACAAATGAACATCTAGAAAACCTAGCCTGAATTCTTTAAAATGTAATGTGGTGGGTTTTTGTTCTAGTACTCAGGACTCAGATGTGGTTAAGTTTTGTGCTGAAGGTTCCTTTAGTTAAAAGAATTGAAATGTTGACCTTTCAGTGGTGATTGGTCATTATGGATGAGAATAAATCCTTGTCAAACCTAGAGGTGTGGTTTAGTTCCAATATTAATATCTTGGATCAGGTTCACATAGTAAAATGAATCCTTGATACAAATTTATTTTTAGTATATTGTAGGTTCACTTTAAGTGTGCTACATGTAATTTGTAACTAAAAATAAACGTGAAGAAAATGAAAATCATTTTTCGGGAAAAAAAATCTCATTTTCTAGTGTTTGGTTGAAAGCTAGAAAATTATATTTTTTCTATTTGGGTTTATTTTTAAAAACATGAACACAGATCTATTACTAAGTTATTTTTTTATAAAGTATTAATTATTTGATAATGATTTTAATTATTATTATTATTTATATTAATTAAAATTAAAATAAAAGTGTAAATAAATAAATAAAAATTTATAATAGTTATAAAATTAATTAATTATTAATTAATTAATTAATTAATTAATAATGATTATAACAAAAATGTGTAAGTAAAATGTTTTTTGAATTTTAACTGATTATAATAAAAATAAATACATAAATTTACAAGTAGTAATAATGCATAAATCATCATAGAATTTGAAAGTACATGCAGTAGAAATATTTACTTAAAGCGAGAAAAAGATGTCTGACGAAAATCTTTCCGTCCCTGAGTCACCGGAAGCCAGCGACAGGCCGCCGGACGTTCAAGACCCCATTGAACGGAGCTTGCTATTTACCAAGGAAGATGGACCACTGCATCAATGCATGGACGCCACCACCCTACTGGAATTTGTACCAGAAACTCTTCAGCCCGCGGCAACAGCTTCTGCTCCGACAACCGTTAACTACAAGGAATGCCTACACAATAACCCACACTTCAAGATCGCAGACCTACGAGAGGAAATTGCATCGGATGATGAAGAATCGGTTGATCTGGTGAATCCAGACTGCCCCAGAATCAAAATCACAAAAGAAGACAAAGAGAGAATTCGGCGACCATGGCGGCGCACACTGATCCTTAAGCTGCTAGGGAGGACGGGTGGTGCGTGATAGCTGGTTAGCCCCGGTTTCTGGTGCTCCTATGTATGTCCTGGCCACTAAACTGAACAGACTTGCTAAGGCCCTCAGTGTTTGGAGTAAAGAGGTCTTTGGAAACATTTTTGCCTGCCTGAAAGAGTATGAGGACCGAGTACAAGCCCTTGAGAGGGCTCTCCAGCAACACCCTGATGATGATCACGTTTTATTGGAATATAAGGAAGGGGTTGCACTCTTACAAAAGCAAGTCATGATTGAGGAAGAGTTTTCGCAACAAAAGGCGCGCATCACCGAGGTACAGGAGGGTGAGAGGAACTCTCATTATTTTCACTCTCTTGTAAAAGAGCGCAGGCGGAAACTCTTCATACACAGAGTTAGAGATGATACAGGACAGTGGATTGAGGATAGGGAGGGTATTGCTGCACAGGCAGTATCTTTCTTTGAGCACATGTTTACTGCCGAGATTGGGGGCTTTGATACTGCTTATGTTGAATTTGCAGGGGGCCTGGCTCTCAGTGGGTGATTATAATGCGGTTACGAGCAGGGACGAGACCTCAAGAGGCTCAAGCCTGCCTAATTCGCGATGCTCAAGTTTTAACGAATGGCTATCGAAGGAAGGTCTGATGGATCTTGGTTACTCAGGATCAAAGTTCACTTGGTGTAGGGGTCTCAATTCAGCATCGTTTAAAGCTGCACGGCTGGATCGTGCTGTTTGCAACATTAATTGGAAAATTCAATTCCCAGATGCGGAGGTTATCCATATGCCTATAGTAAGTTCAAATCATGCTCCGCTGCTTATTAGAACCAGGGCTCTGAATCCACATGTCGGAGTGAAGAAGTTCAAATATAATGCTGTGTGGGCTTCTCACCCTAAATTCTTGAAATTTGTTGGGGAAAATGGGAGAAAGGATGTCGATCTGGGTCAGAATAAGGATCTACTAGCATCTAAGTTTCAAGATTGGAATAGAAATACATTTGGGAACATTTTCCATCGCAAAAAACGAGTGCTGACAAGATTGGAAGGAATGCAGCGCAGCCTAGCCAACAATGTTAGATCGGACCTCATCAAACTTGATAGGAAATTACGGAAAGAGTTAGAAGAGATCCTCTGCCAAGAAGAAATGCTTTGGTTCCAGAGATCCCGTGAGGACTGGATTACGTCTGGTGATCGCAACACGAGGTTTTATCACGCTGCCACGGCTGCCAAAAAAAGGGGGTTCCAGAATCAACAAACTTCAAGATGATCATGGGGTTTGGCTCTTGGATGATGAGTCAATCATGAACCATATTTTCAACCATTTTGTTATACAATTTACAGAAGATGCTACTACAATGGCACACATTAGTAGCTCAAATTTGTTTCCTTGCCTCAACGAAGCTGATTGGAGGAACAGACCCTTCTCACCTTTGGAGATTAAGGAGGCTATGTTTGACGTGGCGGCTTTTAAATCCCCGGGGCCGGATGGATACCATGCAAGTTTTTATCAACAGGCTTGGGCAATTGTTGGCAGCAGTATCACCAAGTTTGCACTGGAATTCTTCGAAACTGGTATAATCCCAGAAGGGTATAATGATACATTGATCTCACTCATACCCAAGATCCCAAGCCCGGAGACAGTGAAGTATCTACGGCCCATCGGCCTTTGCAACACCTCCTATAAGCTCTTAACAAAAGCAATGGTTTCTAGGCTAAAAGGTATCATACAGAAGCTAATTGAACCGTACCAGTCAAGCTTTGTCTCAGGAAGACTAATAACAGATAATGTACTAGCTTACCAGGAGATTCTTCATTCGTTAAGAAATAAAAAAGGGGCCGGCGGCTGGATGGTTATCAAGATAAATCTGGAAAAAGCCTATGATCGGCTTCGCTGGAGTTATATTCGCAGCACTCTAGAAGCATCAGGATTCAATGACAAATGGGTAAGAAACATTATGGAGTGTGTAACCACATCCCGATTAGCAGTTACCTTGAATGGTGAACAATCTAACTGGTTTAAGCCCACCAGAGGTATACGCCAAGGAGATCCTTTGTCTCCTCTACTTTTCGTACTCTGCATTGAACAGTTTAGCCACATGGTTTGCCAGAAAGTGTCTTCTGGGGAGTGGAAAGGCATACGCAGCTCCAGAAATGGACCCCTGGTCTCACATATGATGTTCGCAGACGACTTAGTCTTGTTTGGAGAAGCATCGGAACAACAAGCGAGGGTAATTAAATCATGTTTAGCTCAGTTCTGTAATGAGTCCGGCCAGAAGGTAAACTTCATGAAGTCATCCATCCTATTTTCAAGAAACACCAGCCATCACAATCGACAAGCAGTTATTAATACACTGGGAATCCCGGCTATTAATGACCTTGGAAATATCTGGGAGTCCCATCCCTGAATGGCAGGATGAAAAGAGAAACGTTTACAGGGTTGATTGAAAACATGCAGAACAAGCTTTCGGGATGGCGAAGGAACACCCTATCTCTTGCTGGAAGACGTACGCTGGCTCAATTCGTGTTATCAGCAATGCCTATATACATAATGCAAACCACCTTGCTCCCTCATGGGGTAATCAAAGCCATTGAGAAGACGGTTCGTAACTTCCTTTGGGGTGGAACTGGAGAAGAAAGAAAATGCAACCTAGTGGCTTGGGATACGGTCACCAGGAGTAAGGATTAAGGAGGCCTTGGCATTTGGGACCTTGGTGCCATGAACCTAGCTTTACTTACCAAACTAGGTTGGAGGATGCAGCTTGGCGAAGAGTGCCCTTGGAGTGACATAATGAAAGCAAAATACTCAGTTCAGAGCTTAGATCCTGCAACCTGGATCCCTAAAGCATCATCCTCAAATGCATGGAAAGGCATACTAAAGTCTGCTCCAACTCTCATTAAGGGCACAAGGAAACTAGTGAAAAATGGCAGATCCTCCCTTTTCTAGCTAGACTCATGGTTGGGCCATTGCCCACTCAGGGAGCTTCTGCTTACCAGCTTGCCTCTACCAGAACTATACAAGCACATTGCAGATTATTGGGACAATCAGATGGGATGGAACTGGACATCCCCTATCGCTTTGCTTCCGCATGACATCAAGAACCAACTGGCAGCAGTAAGATTAATTGATGAGCAAGAGGACACGCTTGGCTGGGGCAGTGAAGCGGATAAGTTCACTGTGGCCTCAGCATACTCTATTATCAAGAACAACCAGGACACCAACACCCTGAGACCATGGAACAATATATGGAGGCTCAAAGTACCTAGCCGAATTCATACATTTCTCTGGTTAGTATGGCATGACAGAATTATGTCCAATGAGAATAGAGCAAAGAGAGGATTTACTGATTGTAATTTGTGTGAAGTCTGCAACACGGCTGTTGAATCATCTGAGCACATATTGCGTTGGTGCCCGGAGGCCAGGAGGGTCTAGAATCGTATCATGCCGAACATGATTCAAACCACCAGCAGTAGTAGCTTCTCAGACTGGCTAGCCAATGGCATCAGGAATGCCCCGAATCACCAGCAACACAATAAGAGTGTCTTGTTCGCACTAACGCTTTGGTGGTTGTGGAAATGGCGAAACGAGAGTGTATTCAATGGCAAAAGGCTGGGAGATAGCCACAAACAATACTGGATACTTTCACAATCGACAGAAATTAATAAGGCTTTTGAGAAAGCCAAAAAGCCAGGAATACAGTCTGCTCCGAAAGACTGGAGGCTGATCAGATAGATAATACCGTCGAAGGGGTGGATTAAAATCAACACAGACGGAAGCTGTGATCCTCTCACGAACCGGGCTAGTTGTGGAGGACTGGCTCGCAATGACAATGGCGATTGGTTAAAAGGTTTCAACTACAATATTGGTAGCTGCTCAGCAGAAATGGCGGAAGCGTGGGCTCTGTTAAAAGGAGTTCTACTTGCAAAGCTGTTAACTAAAGGCCAAGTATGCTTTGAGAGTGATTCAAAGACTATTGTGGACGCGATAAGCCAGAATATAAACATAGGAAACAATACGGACAACATTGTGAACGCTTGTAGACAGGAGCTGAGCAGCCTTGAAGCGTGGCATATCACTTT